AAGTAAACTAACAGGTGGAGAACAGGAAGTAAACTAACAGGTGGAGAGGCTCTGGTGTTAGAATCACTTCTGTTACATATTATTATATTTGTACTATTGTATTTATGTACTATGATCGTATTGCTGGTGTGTTCTATTGTGTAATAATATCAGTATTATATATCATTATTATTCTATTGTTCATATTTGTTTATATTTTTCTTATATATATTTTGTATCTTTAATAAAACTAATTGAATTAATAATTTCCTTCTGGATTAATTCATCTATGTCTTATATCATCTAACGTTATGCAGAACGTTTTATATGAACTCTTTGTTATTATATCACATTTAATTAAAATCTAATTTTATACTTTAATAATAAAGTGATTCTGAGTTAAAGGTCCAACATACGAGGAAACGCGTATTATTATTATTATTAATTATTATCTTCTCTTCCTCGTAAGTCTTCTTGTAATCATATTTATACTTTTATCACCTTTTCATTGTTTATAATAAATAGTAATGACGTCCAACAGGTGAAGGGTGTTCAGAGGAAAACACGATGAAGAAGAAGTCCTCCTCTTCCTCCCTGTGGTCATGTGAATATGAATATGAATATGAGAACGTCCCGCTGCTCCTGTAATGAAGCTGCACATCAGAGACCTTATTAAGGTGTAGTTCACTTGTCCTCAGTGTTTCCTGTAAAACGGAGCGCTGTCAGCTTTCAACCTGCTGCTCCGATGAAGCACAAAGAATTCATTCACATTCAGAGAGAAAGCAGCGACTAAATGATCCTTCAGGCTGACAAGGACCCCTGTGGTTCTCTCTCTCACACACACACGCACACACACGCACGCACACACACACACACACACACACAGAGAAGTAACCTCCCCTCTCAGTGCAGCAGCATTAAAAGGCAGCTGTCATTAAGGCCCACTGTGGTGTGTGTGTGTGTGTGTGTGTGTGTGTGTGTGTGTGTGTGTGTGTGCTGCCATTAGGCGCCCACCGCAGCAAAGCTCGGTCCACTCCGACCCACGGCATGCTGGGAAAATCTTCAGCTTCCCCGCCGGTTTTGAGCCCAGAGCCAGAGAGCTAAATGACAGGGTTGACTCCTCCTGGACGCCCCGCACCGCGAATCCAACGCTCCCTCCAACCTCCTACTACTAACCTGCAATTAACACACTGCTGAGAGGGGGGGGGAGGGGAGGAGAGGAGGGGAGGAGAAGAGGGGAGGAGGACAGGAGGACAAGAGAGTAGGGGAGGAGAGCAGGAGGAGAGGGGAGAGAGGAGGGGAGGAGAGGA